GAAACTGCTTGCAAGGAAACTAAGGAAACTGTATCTAATTTATCTCGCACAACTGATCTTAAAGGTTAATTAAGTTTTCAATAAAATGATATGCTATTATCAGTATGTTATAATAACCTAAAACTTGAAGCTTTTTTCCAGGCACTTGAGGCATTGAACGTTCGACTTATGTTGTGCCTAAAGTTATCTGGCGAAAGAGCTAATCTCTTAGAAAAGGGCTCTTACCGCTCCGCTTTTGAATCCGCCATTTCGGAACTAAAAAAGAATAGCATCGGCTTGGTGCAAACTGTAAAGACCTACGCAGATCAGTTTGATGTACTATAAAGGATACATTTGATTAAAACTGAGAGTCAACGCGCAACGTTGTTATTTATGTAACAGAATCCCGCCGGAACGGTGATGCGCGATTTTTACATTCAAGAAATACAGTTAGCCTGCGAGGAGATCAGTCGTTTAGTTAATCTCCGAATTATTTTGGATGACTCATTGTTTCCGCCTGGCGACCTTTCCTTGTCTCTCGCATGTGTAAAAGAAGCTCTGCAAGCTGGAAAAATGGGCGCTTATGTGGACGAAGAAATTAAAAAGCAACTTTCTTCTAACTTTGATAAGGTTTGACCCTCAACGTTGCGTTTGTCGTTAATTGTATAACAATTTTTAAATCTACTTTTACACTCGATAAATTATTTTTTTTTGAACTTTTTTATTAGATGTGTTTCCTTTTTTTTTTAATAACATTTTAAACGACAGTTAATTGAAGAAGGGCAGCGTATTCTGGAAAATTGTGATAATCTAGAATCTCTTGAGAAAACACAAAAGTTAATATCGGAAAGCAAAAAGGAAGTAAAAAAGGTAGAAGAATTGGCTTGTAAATTACAAGAGAATCCTGAAGATAAAACCGCTGAACTTGCCTACGGAGTCGCTTGTGAAGGTTTTTCCTGTCTGTAATCTTTAAAAATTTATTCGAAAAGCGGCTCTGAATACCCTTAGAGTTGTTGGAAAACATTTTTCGTTTGGACGAAGATTACAAAAATACCTTAACTTCTCAGCGGGAAAGATATGCGCTCAGCCTTTCAGAGTCGAGCCACTTAATTATGGATGCAGCAGCGGCGGGCGGTATACCTTTGAATTTGTATACAAGTCAACAGCTGGTCGCTTGGGGGTGGCTTAAGCAGTTTGCTTAGATTCTAAGGGTGTGGAAACTATTGCTACGCAGTTTTACAAAGATGCTGAAGTTCTTGATAAAGTCGCCAAGACAGTCGCGTCCGTAACTGAGGACGGCCTTAAAAGCGCTGCTGTCCTGCAGGCGGCGGCCAATCTATCCAAGTACCACCCCGGTTCTTATACATAGCTTGCATTGGCAGGGGCGAGACATATGCTAACGAGCGGCCGGATAGTCTTTTTAGCGGCGTACAAACTGTGCCCTCGGACGGGGAATGCTGCAGATCTCCAACGAGCCGCCCAGACGCAAGAGGAGTGGCTGCACCGCTACGATGAGTTGCTGATAGCCATGGACAGGTGCCTTAGGCACTTCCTTGCTCGGCAAATGCTGAACTGAACCAAACAAGGGCTACTCCGACCTTCGCAGGATCAATAGCGGTAGCTGAGGAATTGTTTTACAAGGCGGCAGATCAGGTCTCCCGTTAATTCTTTTCAATTTAAGATGCAATAATCGAGTCCCGTAGACCCAAGCGGCTTGTGAAAAAGGAGACCAGCAAGGCTTTCTGCGGGCCAAACAGAAAGTCCAGTTCATTGAGGGGCGCCTGCAGTCTCTACTCGAAAGAGAACTGACAGCCAGCGGGGGGCTGGAGACGAAAACCGGAAGTTCAGAAAGTGCGACCTATCCCGCGTCCGCTGCTCAGCTTTAACGAGTTTCCGTGTATTTTTTAAGGTGATCTTAAGAAAGCGCTCGACCAGGTGGCCGCCATTTCCCTGAGTTCGATGGACAATTTTATAGCGTAAGTTCTAACCGTCACTGCTCTACTCGGAAAGTCTCTTTAAGTTTCGTAGAGTCTATTCGGGCATAAAAGTGGAGGGTCTTCTAAGACCCGCAAAGGCCGTCATCCGTTTGAAGGACGCGGGTGAGGCAAAAAAGATGGAAGCACCCTCTGAAGGCGGGGATCAGCAGACGAGAATTGTGCGGGAAGACAAAGGTACACACTCTTTTTTGAGCTCTACGGCATCACCAACCATTTGTGTTCGGCGCGTCAAGTGATTATCTTCGAGCAGATGAAGCGTCTTCGCACGGCTGATAACATAATCGGAAAGGCTGCTCAGGGCCTTCACCAGGCGGTTTCCCGCTGGGACGACCACGAGAACGATCTGATAAGGTGCTTTCTACACCGTCGCTTTGCTTGTGTATTGCTACTACGTGGGGTATACCGCAGTACCATGAAGAAAATTTCAGAAAACTTTGCGCGCCTGTCGATCCTGAAGGATGAGGTCCTTAAGAAGACCGAGTTAATCGAAGTTTCCCGATTCATAGTGGAGGACGCACGAAAGGCCGCCTCAATGGCTTCAGAACTCGCTAAGGTACACACTGCCTCGCGAAACCCCCCCTCCCCCCCGCTTTCATTCCCTTCTTCTCTCCCAGCACTGCGTAGATAAGCGCCTGGCGCAGGATCTTCAGACTAGGGTTATCCAGGCGGACACCCTCTCCACGCAGCTGAAGATCCTCTCCACCGTAAAGGCATCGATACCGGATGACCAGCAGGCGGATCAGCAGCTCTCTGTTAGCGCCCAGAACCTCATGAACGTGTGCAAGGGGCTGCTCAGCGAAGCGCACAGCTGCGCTATCAAATGCCCACAGAGCAGCGCCCTCATACAGAAATGGCGCACTGTGGAGTACAAATTTCAGTAGTTTGATTTTTTATAAGACTCTGCGGTCAATAAATGTCCCCTGCGCTTCTCACAAGTAGTTAAAAAAGCGAAGTGTATTTCACGGCTTATTTATATATTTTGCTTCTTCCTGTGCGGCTCCCTCAATAAGAAACTTTAGATCATTGAGTCGTTTTAGCTCTTCTTCGTGGTCGGCCAGCGTTTCTAGCAATCCAAAATATCTCTCGATATTAAAATTCTCCTTTTGAGCCTAAAAATAATAACAATAGCATCATATTGAGATCAGTGTATATTATACTTGCTTCTTATTAATTTGCTACCGATTTTAAACTCTTTCTGCTTATAAAAGTATTTAAAACAAACAAAGACGTAATAAAAAAACAATTATTTAGCGTAAATAAATAAGTTTAATTCTAATTCTAATAAAAAAAGGATAAAAGTTTAAACTTATAAGAAGTTTTCATTATCAATTGTAGAGAAAGCATTAAGTTTTTCGTTTAACAAGTAGCAAAAACCAAATTTTGCTCAACGCAGCAAAGAGCCAAAAGTGTGAAAAAAATCAGATATAAAAGAGAAAATTGTTTATAAACATAGATATATATACTTTAAGCGACGATAAGGTTTGATGTAAAATAAAATAGAAATAAAATAATTCGGAAATTTTTATATGTTAGAATTGAGTAAAGCTGTAAAAAAAATTGATAAACTTCTTTGATTATTCTGCGATAAATATTTTAATGAAAGAAAAGCAGTTCCTACAAGAATAAACTGTTTGTATAAAAAAGTAATACTGTGGTTGAATATAACTTTTGAGTTCCAAACGATTATAGTTAGTATGAGGTATAACGGACTTGTAATTAACAAAAGTTATGTATAAAGGGCATTATAGTAAGTTAAAAGAAACTTAATACCCATTTGTAGAGTCTGGAAGACATGTGTCGAGATATACCAGTGGAAAAGTTGTATTCCTCTTTAGTGGAGGCGAAGAGTGCATAAAAAAAAACCGCATTGGCTGAGGTTAAGAAATACGTGACCGGCTCCACTAATAGGATGAAACAGTGGATAAAATGAAAAAAAAAACACGACTATACAGGCCGAACTAGGAAAGTATGTAAGCGAAGCACAAAGTGAACATAAGGGGACGTAACAGACGGCCTAAAAGTCCTATTCCTATACTACTGAATCATCATCAAAGCCGTTAAAAACTTTATATAGATTTGAAAAAAATATCCTGACGAACTGGCAACCGACTATAGTTTTCCTTAGTTTAATTTTAACTATTATACTTGTTTGTCAGTCATCTAAGTGTTTATCGTACTATCAAGTAAATCATCATTGGGTAGAAATTATGGAATAAAAATTTCATAGAAGAGCCTTTTAAAAAAAAAGTAAAAGAGACAATATTATTGTATAAACAACACTTTAAAAGTGTTTTACTTAAAATAATTTAAAATGATGGCAAACACGAATATTATTTACTCAGTTTTCGGTTCCTTAAAATTTATAGCTTTTATATGCTGAAGTAAATAGATTGGAAAGCAAACTTCTGCTTACAAAAGTTTTTCCAAAAAGAATGAAGTTTTTGAATTTAAAAAGCGTCAAAAGAAAGCGGACACATTACAAAAAGAACATTTATAATTAGAGAAAATTATAATTTTTATTGAAAAGAATATGATAAAGTAATAAAAAAGTAAACATGAAGTGCAAATTAGATGTCCTAGTAATGAGCAATTTGCTCCATAAGCGTCCTATTTAGTTGCTTAATAACTTCACTTGGTTATTATAATATTTAGAACTGTTAAATCTTCAAAGTTTTTCTTAATATAAAATTTTAATTACTAGTTCGTAAATTTAAAGTGAAAGTTAAAAAAATTAGAAAATTTCTTTTGTTAGGCAACAAAAAACCCCCTTCTTATACTAAAATAAACCTTATAGAAAACTTTATTTGCTTACTCTACTAAAAAACCAAATAGTATTTTTAGTTTTTTGTAAAAATAATTTACTTCCCCGCGAGCGTAGAGGATCGCTGAAAAAGTAATAGTGTGTTAACGTCTCGATCTTAATTAAAAGGTGTTCGAGCCAGTAAAGTAAAATAAAGTTTTTTTAACATTAATATAACTTTTTAAATCTTTTGAAAGAAGTGAAGGAAGATAAATAACTTTGTAAAAAAAATTAAAAAAGGTTTAAGAAATTCTTATAGAATTATATAAAAAACACTGTTCGTAGGATTTCATAAAAATATAATAAATTTTTAGTTTACTAAAAAAAAAGTCAAACAAGTGAAAACAAATTACATAAAATATAAAAATAAATAAATTAATAGTAAAACACTAATAATAATAAAAAATAAGCTACTTGTAATAACATTAAAAGTGAAATGTTAAGTTTTCTAACGAGTATAATAATAAATCCCTTGTAAGGTTCTACAAAAATGATAAAAAGATGCTATGTAATTTTCCTAAGTAGTGTTATATATTAAATTATTTTTATAAATTACAAACATCTATAATTTGGCACAAAGCATCCTAAATAGAAAAACAACAAAAATGAAGCCGCTGCGTTACAAATAATTTCTTAATTCAAACCTTTTAAAATTAGAATGCGAATTTCAAGACCATTTTTCGATTAAGTAAAATTTTTGCTCCAATATTATTTTTTAAACCCGTTATATTTTACACCAGCTTTCTAAAGATCTAATTTTTTAAGTACAACTCACTAATTAATAGCAACCACTTTGGATTCTTTGGCGTAACGTCGGTAATAAATTAAAATTATAAGGCAAACATAGAATGCGAACTGATATCCCAAGAAAATTCCCACCAGGTAAGTCTTGCTAAGAAGCCCCACTGGAAACTTAAAAAACCTTTCAAGAAGTAAATAGTTTATATAGTAAAAATTAGAGAAGCAACCTATTAGAAATATTAAGAAGATATATATATCTCCTACTTATCAAATATTTTAGACTTTTAGTCAAAAAACAAAATTAGTAAATTTAAAATTTTAAATAAAAAATTTAAACAATTTTATAAATAAGAAAACGAATGATTCTTATAATAAAAGATAGATAAGTATCAATAATTTTCTTCACTTAAATAAACACGTATAGTACTATAAAATACTAAAATTATATATAGACACTTATAGTATAAAAAGGTAATAGTTAAGAGGATCTTTGTGAGGTAATTTTTTTGTTTTGTTCCCAGTTAAATAATGTTATTATTAAACTAGTTTAATAGCAAACATAATCTTTATTTTTATTTTTTTATAAAACATGCAAAATAATATTATACAAATTAACAAAGCAATATAAGGTTATTGTAATTCTCAAAATTGTTGTAAAATCTAATTAACTAAGTAAATAAACCTAGGCCCGACCAAACTAAAAGATTGACTTTCTTTTCAACTAGTTTTTTAGCTCCTTCAAACTAAATTTAAAAAATAAATTTATAATCTAAGTTGCTTGCTTTTAAAGAAAGTATTAATTTTTGTTAACGGTTTCGTTCAATTGAAAGAGTTCTTCTTGTAATAGTTTTTTTCTTCCAATAAGCCTTTCAATCAGGACTGGATACACTTTCTGAACGGTTACCAGTATTTCTTTTTCAATTAACGCCTCTAAAGTGTATTTAGAGTTTAGTGAAAGAAAAAGTAATAATAATAGCCCAAATTAAAAAAATATAATAAACCTTTATTAAACAAACTATTTTCTTTATGTTGAAAGTAAAGAGCCAAATCTTTAGCTGAAAGTTTAAAACCGAGTTGTACGGCGTTTTTAAACAGGCAAGCATCAGCAATTTCGTGACCTTCGTTGGTTGTGACTTTCACGTTATCTATATTTAGCTCCTCAGAGACGAGTTCTTTAAAATCGTCAATGCTATAGTTAAGTCGTAGTTTATAATCGATGGTACATATAAATAATCATTTTTTTAAATGTAAGTACAAGAAAAACTTTATTACTTATAATAAACAATTGTTCAAGATATTGCCGATAAATATAAAAACAAAGCTTTACTAAATCTTACCTTTGAAACTCGTTAAATAGATATGATTTTTTAGTTTTGTCCTTTTTTTTTATAACAAAATTAAATATGTTTTTGTCATAGTTTACTAAAATAGTATTTCTTTTTTCAAAAGAATTTTGATCCTTTTTATTGTTGTCTGGACGTATTAAAACTAAGTAAAAGGCTAAAATAATAAAGTATAAAACTTTCATAGATAAATGATCAGTAAAATGTGTAAAGTTAAGGTAAAAACAGTTTAAAATATATATACAGACTATTGAAAAGCAAGAAACACCTTGAAACGAAGAAAATCGCTTCCAGAACCTCAAATTATATGAATACTTGAAAATATTATGAGGAAGATTCGGTGAGAACGCCATCTCATTATGAATCTAACCCACTGCATGTTTAAAGGTTAATCTAAGTACAATATTAAGTACATTTATGGAAAACGTATAATACTATTTTTAGGCAACCTACATGATATAGTAAGCTAAAGCCCAAAAGAAAAATTTTGATCTTTAAAAAGATACAATAAAGACTAACGCTAAACTAAAATAAAAAATACAAAGAAATAAAGAAGGGAAAAGCTCTGATTTAAAAGATAAGTTTCTCAAAGGATTATTACGTAACGTAACCCGTCAAATATGGTTGGTAGATATATTAGTAAAATATGTCTTAATTATGCATTCAATATACATTATTCTAAATCCAGTCAAAAGGTAAATTTCTTCGAGTTCGAATTGGTATAGAAAAGTCTGCTCTGAGGAGTAATAACTTTAAAAGGGTAGTCTAATTGATTTGGGCTTTATAAACCGACATATATTGTTTGTTGCTTAGTAAAAAATATTTACTAGTAACGGTATGACATGTGGTTGTTAAGAAACTTTTTGGAGTATTAAAGTTGATTGAGTTATTATTCAAAAAAGTTAGGGCTAGGTGTGTAAAAATTTCCTTTAAGCTTTTAGCTCTTTTAATAACACACACGTCCTCTAGACGCTAAGTTCCTAATAAACTATCCTGTAGACGGTTACTATCAACACACTGTTGGACCCTATAGACCAGAACAA